CTTTTGTTTGTTTGGCGTTTTGCCTACTAGGGATTGCGCTCAGGAGCACTTGACCTGAGCCTCGTCCCCAGCCCTGCTTTGAGACAGGGTCTCGATAAGTTGCCCATACTAGTCTTGAACTTGTGATCCTCCTGCCTCAGCCTCCTGAGTAGCTGGGATCACAGGTGTGTGCCACCAATGTCCACTCAAAAGTTGATCGAAGAAGATGGAAATTACTAAAATCGGAATTGAAGAGGGGATGTGGCAGCCAACCTCCTGCCCACCTCCAAGAGAGGAAGGCTGTAAGGAGCGCTGTGCCAGCAAGTCAGGTGACCGTGGGAGGCGCTGGCTCCAGGAAGGACACCTCCGACCCCCACTTGGCTCAAACATGGCCCGAGTATGCACCTGGCAGCCCTGGGTGCCACCCCGCCCGCCTTCTTGGACGTTTGGTCTGGCCCAGAGTGGGAACCCGTGGTGTCTGCACTCAGCATTCTCCGGGTGGGACCAGCCCCCCAGCCTCGGACTCACGCCCAGGCGCTGAACAGAGATGGAAAGATTTCTTTCCAGGATGCCAGCTTGCTGAAGCACGCCGGGGAGGCATGGAGGAGGGATGCGGGTGGCACTTGCGGTCACCACTTACTCTCCAGGTGGCCCGTCTCCACAGCGACCAGAAAGGCCCACTGGTAGTAACACTTGCCCTGCTGGGCGAGGGCCCGGCGGGTGCACAGGTGGCCCGTCCACAGGAGCACCTGGGTGAAGTCCTGACCACACTCCCCGACGGGCAGCTGGGAGAAGAGTCTGATGGCCTCCAGGAGGTAGTGCTGGGCCAGCCCGACGGCACTGGCCTGCAGACACAGCGCCCCGAAGTTGGCCAGGACCACTGCCTGGTTCCGCAGCTGGCCCAGGCCCCGAGCCAGGCGCAGGGCGCGGTAGTAGCCCTCGGCCGCCTGCCGGGTCCTGCCCGTCCTCTTCAGGGCGATGGCCGCCATGTTGACAATCACACCCTCCTGGTCCTCGCTGGCCACATCTGCATCCAGGATGGACTGCAGGATGTCCAGGGCCACCAGGCTCTGCCCGTGGAGCAGGTGCAACCAGGCCAGCACCACCAGGCGGTCCACCACGGGGCGCGCACCGGCCGTGGCGTCGGCCTCCACCGCCCGCGTCATGAAGGCGATGGCCTGCCCGTGCTGCTCATGGTGGCTGTGCAGCTGGGCCAGGCTGGCATACAGCAGGCCGCGAAGGGCCCGCCCCGTGCCCGCGGCCGAGGAGGCCAGCGCCTGCCTGAGGTAGTGGGCGGCCTGGGCAGGGAGGCTGTGAGCCGCCGTCCTCTGGCCATGCAGCTGGGGGGCGTTCCAGAGGACCAGGTCCACGCTCCTCAGGGAGCTGGCCAGCGAGCCTGGGGTCCGCAGCGAGGCCACCCTGATGCAGCTCAGAGCCAGGTGGGGCAGGCACTTCCTGCTGTAGGTGTCGGCCAGGAGCAGGTAGCAGCTCAGAGGCCAGGCGGCGGATGGGGCCCCCAGGCCCCTGTGCAGCAGCAGCAGCCTCTCCAGGTAGGGCAGGGCCTCCTCCGGCTGCTTGAGGTGGG